TAATTTATTCAAAAAAATTTTTTAGTCTCAGAGCACCATTTTCCTAGTAAATCTCCCATATAACAAATTTTGTAATATAATGAGTCATACATTTTCAGAGAACTAACTTACTATTTAAAATTAAATATTTTCTGATATAGTTTTTTTTGAAAAGATTGATCACTACTAAAATATAAATATTACTTTCAAAAAAGTCAAAACTCATACCGACGACCTTTATAAAATTAAGTAAATATAGAAAATACTCTTAACAAAAAATCTCCTTTGTTATTGATCTTCTTTTCAATGCTTAAAATTCATTTACTGATGTTATAGTATCAAAACACTTAATTGACCAATCAAAATACATTGCAAATATCTCATTCTGTAATAAAAATAATATGAAACACCCTTGCAAAGGCTAATATTTTACTTCTATCATTCAATAAAAACATTTGAAAATAAAATTTAATATCTAACAAAATAATAACATTATTCTTTTATCATTATATCAATTTGTTAAACTATTCAGACATTCTGCTTGGACGAAGCTTTCATGAATTTACCTTATTTTATATATTATAGTGATGCTAATATCAATTGGATAATTACTACCTTTATCTTAAATGGTAATAATATAATAACTACAAACAGATATTAACTTCTTCTTAAAGTGCTGCCTATATTTCATATTCTACATAAATGATATTCAACTATCTTTATCTGTTCTACTTGTTCTAACTGCATACTTACTGATAAATCTTTCAATTATATTTGGCAATATTCTAAAAATAATATTTCTATATTACAATTGTTTTAGAACTCTTTTCTATAATCTTAGTCATTTAAAGAACTGTAATGCATTATATGACAACTTTGTATATCAAATCAGCTAACTGTCAATCTGTTCTTCTATTAAATGAAATAATGACATATTTTTTATAGACATAATCAGAAGACTTATGCCCTGCAAACTCGTCTCTCTTATTAATAATATCATTAACAATATTGCAGTAACTAATTCACTTCTTTCATTTATTTATTATGACCTTTTTGATAAATTATAGACTATCTGAATACAATGATGTAATTCATTTATCAAATGAAAAATCTTACATAACATTAATAATTAGAGTTCCAAATAGGTCAGGTCTGGTCAGGTAATTGACTTGACCTGACCCGACCTGTCTAAAAAAGGAAACTAAATAATTATTAATTTTGTTTAATATTTTTTTTAAAAAATATAAAAAAGTATTGATACATTTTTATATTTGATTATTTTTCAAAAAAAAAATACTAATATAATTATTTTAACTGCAGAATTTAAAATTACAAGTTACGATAAATCTGCAAATCAGGTGACTGCTAATCTAATTATGAAAAACATTCATAACTTTATAACCATTAATCCAATTATAATAAAAATTTATATGCAAATATTTTCGAAACCGCTGAGCAACTTTACTTATGTAACAAAAGTCGATTTCCTTTGACCAAAGTGTTCAAATATCTCTTTAAAATCACTGTATAGATAAAAAATAAAAATAAAAAAATTTGTGAGATAATACAATTATGAAAAACGTGCATAACTTTAAAACCATTAATCCAATTATAATAAAAATTTATATTCACATATTTTCGAATCTACTGACCAACTTTACTTATGCGATCAAAATTGATTTCCTTTGATCAAAATCTTGAATTGCCCTTTGAATTCACTAAACGAATAAAAAAAAATAAAAATATTTTGTGAGATAATATAATTACGAAAAATATTTATAACTTTATAACTATTAATCCAATTATAATAAAATTTTATATGCATATATTTTCTAATCTGCTAAAAACTTTACTTATACGATAAAAGTTGATTTCTTTTGACCAAAGTGCTCAAATATCTCTTTAAAATAATTGAACAGATAAAAAGAATTAAAATTAATTTGTTAAACAATGTAATTGCAAAAAATGTTTATAATTTAAAATTTAACTTTTTGATTATAATAAATTATAAAATAATTATATTAACAACTTTATTAAAATATAAAAAAAAAGTATATTAAATAAAATTAAAGATGTTTTTAAAAAAAAATAGATCAAAAAAAATTATTTTAAATATTTTATTTTATTAATTTGATTGGTTGACTGAATTTTATCAGGTCAGTTCATAAGCTTAACCTGACCTAATGTTGACCTGAAAATTTGTCTACCTGACCTGGATTTTTCAGGTCAGGTCAGGTCAGATCACAGATTGACCTGATCTGATTCAAAGCTCTATCAATAATGATTATAAAACTAATTTCAATCTTTGAATCACTCTAGTTTCTTCTTAACATCTCATATTACTTCATTTTTTCTTCTAACTTTATTTATTAACTTTGTTAATTTAGGTTCTAATTAGTCAAATTTTTAGTCAGAAAGTAACTATGTCTCTTATGTTAGACAGTTAATTCTGTTTAATTCTTTATTATAATTTAACTTAATTTTAGTCTATAATAATACAATGTTGATATTGATTATAATTTAGTTTTTACTTTTTAGATACAGATTCCAATTAAAATTCTCTGAATACTAATTTTGATATCATATTTCTCAAGATACAATGATCAAAATTAGTTCAAAATTTTATATAATCTTAAAATAATCTTAATCTATAATATATTAAATTTTTATTTAATTTGAAAGAGTAGAAGCTGAGATATTTATGTAAATTTAAATGCATAAACATTTTGATTTTAAATTTTAGTTAAAGTTTTAAAAGAATATTAAATAGATTTTCTGAATATCTAATGACTCAAATTAAATAAAATTTTTAATATATAATATTATTTATAAAAATCAAAATTTAAGCTAATTCAGGAGATAATTATATTATTGTTATTATAATATATTATTTGCATCAAATATATATAAATATTTTTAACATCCAATAATTCAAATCATTGTAAATTTTGATATTTTATAAATAATATATTTATTTATTATATATTAAAATTTTATTTAGAAAATATCTTTAATATTTATTTTTAAAAATCTATAATTTAAATTATTTATATATTGTTATATTTCAGCTTCTAGTAATTAAATTAAATAAAAATTTGATATATTATATTTTAAATAGTTATATGAAAATTTGATCTAATTCTAATCAGTAAATCTTGTGATATATGATGTAAAATTTAGTATTTCGAAACTTTTAGCTGGGATTTGTATAATTAAAATATTTATGCATTTACATTTATATAAATATCTTAGCATTTACAGATTCAAATTAAATGAAATTTTGATATATTATTGAGTGAGATTATATCAAGGTTATATCAAATTTTGAACTAATTCTGATCGGTGCATCTTGAGAAATACGATGTCACAAAATTTGTGTTCGGAAACTTTTGGCTATTTTCTTATCTTACTTTTTGTACTTGTATAAATCCGTAAAATTAATAACGATTATATAAAGCTTCCCACCAAAAAAAAAAAAAAAAATGATGATGATAATGTTTCTGCGACAATAGGAATACTTGGTACCAGAGGTACTCATTTAACACCATCAATATACAATGAATTATTTGTTGAAGCGGATTTGGAGTCAAAAGATGATGATAATGAATAAAAAATAATCCCATCCTAATTATGTTTAGAGTAGTGATAAATAAAGAATAAATACGAACGATATTGAAATTTTTAATAGTACTAATAAATTATACGATTTATAAAAAATTAAGAATATTATTTTTTTATTTTTAACACGTTAATTTTACTTAGGTAATTCCTTCTTTTAATTTTTAAATAATTTACCTTGGTAACAATATTTCAACTACATATTTTAATTAATATATGAATATAATTTCAAATTAAAAAACGTAAATCTATTGTAGTTTATTATCCTTGGACGCTATAATTTTATCATAGATAGATTGAATTGATCAATAAAGGCGCGATTTGCAAGATCAATATCTAGACATCGCAATATAAAATGGCAAACTGAAGGTAATGGTAATTGGGTTAGGTAAATTAACAACAAGGTTAGGTTGAGAAAGTGACGGATTCAAACATTAACTGGCACACCGTGAAAAAGGATGCATGTTGAAGAATGATAACTCTTTGCCCAAGTTGAAGATTGGTGGGATTTCCGGATGTTGAGAAGTCATACTAAATAAAGATACCTTAAATTTATTTTCTAAAAGATTTGAGTTTATACTAAAAAGTACATAACCTAACATTATAGGATTTATTAAATGCACCAGTAACTATTCGGTTATTTATGCAATAATATTAGAACACAAAAATTACTAAATTGAGATCCTCTTGCCATTACTTACTGTTATAAATACTGGAATCGTAGCTGGTGCGTTGCTTTATTTTAATCATGATAACATCATGAGCTCTTCAACTGTATGTTTGATATCTTCTTCAGATTGATATTAGGCCCGGGCCAGTGTTGGACATTTATTTATTTGGACATATAAACTTATATATGTCCAAATCCAACACTGACCAGTGCTAATTCTAAGAATGCAAAGTCATAGTTAATACTGGATATTTAAAACCATCACGCCATCACACCATAAAATGAACAAAATTAATTATTAATATTTTCCGTCAGATCCTCACTCGTGGTTTTGCCGCAGTTCGAAAACATGAGTCTGGGTCTTTACCTGATCCACGTGATATTGTTTGTTGCTTTTAGCAAAATAGTTGGAATAGAAAAATTATATACCTAATAGCATCAAGAAACTAAATTCATGAAATGAAGGAATTTCAATTACACGGACAGTTACATCTTCCCATTATCCGAAGTGACATTTGGGATATTATCATTTGGGATAACCGAAATGCCATTCCAATTTGGGATCCAACATCTATCAAATAAACACGTGATCATCATTTATTTAAAAAAAAAATTTTCACGGGAGATTTTCTTGAGATTATTAACTAAATATAGTCTCGATACGCCGACAAAAGTAATATAAATAGCTTTCTGATTTCAAAGTATGACCATATAACTAATCAATTTATCTAGGATGGAAAACAATATCAATACATCTGTTGGTAATTTTACAAAATTACTTGAATTTTTTCACATTATCGAGAAGTTAAAGGTAAATAAAATCACGATTTTTGTTGATTGAGAATAAACGGCTTAAAATTTCATATTTCAATTCGTAGAAAACAAAACGTACTGGATGGATTATTAGTAACATTGAGAATCCCGAATCGATATCAGATCATATGCATAGAATGTCTATATTAGCATTGTTGTCGAATGACGATAAGCTGGATAAGAATAAGTAAGCGAAAACGATCTCACGTTAATTTAAAGCTTTAGATTTAATATAATCTATTGATTTATTGATTAGGTGTGTTAAAATGACTGTAGTTCATGATTTAGCTGAAGGTATAGTGGTAAGTTGTCGATATAATATAATGTTTGTATTATTAACATGTCACAAGGTGAATTTGATCATTCTTTCATTCAGGGAGATATAACGCCATTTGAAGGGGTCACAAAACAAGAAAAAAATCGAAGAGAAATGGTAAGTATTTTTGAAAAAAATCTGCTTTTCCTTTTTTTCAAAATCATGATTATAATACTTTTTTTTATTTGTGAAAATTTTTAGGAGGCAATGCAATATATTTGTAAAGAATTACTTGAGGATTCTTTACAGTCTCAAGAGATATTTTCGTTATGGCAAGAATATGAAAATGGTGAAACGATGGAAGCAAAATTCGTAAAGGATTTGGATAAATTTGAAATGATCTTACAAGCTTTTGAGTATGAGAAATGTGAGTTATTTTAGACATGCTTTTTAATATTTATTAATATATTATAGTAATTTAACGCATAAATCTCCTATTTATAGCGGACAAAAAAGATCTTACTGAATTTTTCGAAAATACAAGGGGGAAATTTACTCATCCTCTTGTAAAATCATGGGTCGAAGAGCTTTATCTTCAACGTCAAAATATAAAATAAAATAAATGATTATATTAAATACTTTAAAAATAAAATTGTATTTTATTGCAATTAAATAAAATGAAACATGTATCAACTTTTGAATCCAATTCAGAAGATTAAATTTAAAAAGTTTAACGAAAGACAAGCGTAGATGATAAATTAAGTTTTGCGACACTGCACCTCCAGAAATGTTCGTGTGATGCAATATTTGTTTTGACCTCCAAATCCAAATTTTAGTATTACTGAATACATTCGATATAATTATATGTAATTCCAAATCTCATATTCACTACAGATTGGAAGAAGAGAAGTTCATAAGATAAAGAATACTAAAATAGTTCCGATTCTTGTTTAGAATTCAATTCATCTAGCCTAGACTCAAAAAAAAACAAATAAAAGGTAGCCCGAAAAATGTAATAATTTTATTTTATTAAAAATATTTTGTATAATATTTTATAATATAAGAATATTACAGATTCTTTTTTACAAGATAATAAAATATTCCCGATTTCGTATATATATTATTTATAATTTAAAACAATTTATATTTTATATAATTAGTATTAATATAAAGATTTGAACTTTTATTTATTAAAAGCTCAATATAATAATATTATAATCAAATTATTTATTTAAAATATGGGCATGCTGCAACAAAACCAGACAAAGTGAACATAGGGATCAAAATTTAATAATGTGATTATTAAATTTTTTCAAAAAATTTCTGGGCTTGTTACTGTTCAAATCGAATGTAATTAAATAAGGAAAGTATGAAAAATGTTACATATCTTATATTAATATCTGGGATTCATAATATCCGGTGTCCGTATAGCGTAGCAAAACAATGTTTTGTGACCCTTGCGTCCGCTGCTTAGAACAAGTTTTGTGGATACTCTCATTGACGTGATCATGCAAGGAACTGCTTCTTTGTAGCCAACTCCAGGGGCTTGTTTCTAGTATATTCAGTATAATGTTTCCTACGTCTGTACGCGCTTAACCACATATTTAATATGCTTGGTGACTCCTACAGCCGATGCCTGGTGAGAAGACATGGATACTCTTTTATTGATGTAATCCTTTATGGGGATTGTTTCTTTATAGCATACTCCTAAGCTTCTTCACCAGAAAACGTTATTCTTAGCCAGATTTTTTCTTTCCTCTTTCATATCTGGTATTAACTTTTTTTTTTAAATAGGATGGATTTTGACTACTTGATTTCTAAATATTTAGAAGAAACAGCTGGAGTTTGATAAATATAATGCGTTATGTTGCGGATTCGATCAATTTAACTGATGAATGTTTTGAAGAATTTATAGATTCGTTAAGATCTGCTTTATACAAAAAAATTCAACAAAAGAACAACCTTAAATCTGCAAAGAATAAGGCTCAAAAATTTTTTAAAATCTCAATCCATCAATCAGAAATCAGAAAGAAATAAAAAATTTTTTGCTTGAAAAAGAACTAAAATTTGGACAAGTGAGTAGCATAAGTTTGTTTATAATGATGCAAACAAATACTTAACAAACATATATTATCATAGATTTTATATGATACAAATGCTGGATTAAGTGTCATGGAAGATAAAACTATTAAAGTACAGATAAGTAATTCTGAGTATAAAGATGTGAGTATTATAGTTCTTAGCATACTGCATCTGGGCTCTTTAGATCAGTGATGACAAATTATAAGGTCATTTGACTTGAAATTTATAATAATAATAAGGTCATTTGAGGTTATTTCAAGGTTATTTCAAGGTCTTTTGCCAACCCTGCTTTAGATATAATCTGTTTTAATATGGTTATCATATTTAATTCATAACTCAAAAATTAGAATCAGACAAAAATAATGGGTTGAATGATTATACACCTTGTCTAACAATGAATAATTATGATTTGGAAGGAAATGTAACAGAGTCAGAAAAAGGTTTTTGCAAAACTAGTATTAATGTTGAAAATACATCAGAAAGAAAAAAAAAACAAGTAAGCAGTATAATATATGATAATGAAATGCAAAAAAGTGTTAAATTTATACTTAGTCTTAATGGATCTAATGAAGAATCTATCATTGAAAATGTTGATAAAACTTTATTATCAGATGAAATTTCATTATCATTGAAAAATACTGATGATAGAACTTCTGAAGTAAAGATTGATATAAATGTTTAATGAATGCATGTTTAAATAAACTTATTAATAGGAAATTATTGATCTAAATATTATTAAATTATTTTGTAAATACTAAAAACAAATACTAAGTGCTAATGTAAGTTTAGCGTTATTATTTTAAAGTATGATCCTTTCATACTCATTAATATATTCATTCACTAATTTTTAATCCTGCATACTGGATTTAACTAGAGAGAGTATTAAAGGTTTTAAAATAAAGGATAAAGAAATCCAAAAATTATCACTGGATTTTTTTAATAAAATCCAATGGAATAACAATATCTCCACTTCAAGTTACATCCAAAAATATTTCAATAACAATTGTGAAAATGTTAACAAAAATGATTCTGTTAAAAATTTGAACATTAATATTTTAATTTATGTATGTATATATTGAATATATTCTTTAAATTATTTTTTACTAATAAGATGTTTTCATTTGGATTATCATTCAGCAAAAACAAGATGTCAAAACTTCAAATGATATGCATAGAGAAAAAATTGAAGATGTGAATTATTTTTTGACATTTTATATCAATAAATATTAAAAACACTTGGTAAATAAATCAATATTTCTTTTAAAAGAATTTCAAATGATAATACAGTGATTTTTTATTTTAAATATTAGGGATGAAATCCAAGTAATTTTGATAAATAAGATACAAAATAAAAAAATAATCCTTTTTTAAGAGCAAAAGTTGGATATAAAGTAGATATAAAAGATACTTTGATCAAAATGCTAAATAAATTTAAAATAATTTAGAGAAATTACCAGAGAACTTAGTCTTTTTGGAATACTCGCCTTCTTGCAGGAAATAGCAGTATGTTAATAAAATAAAATTGATGGTAATACTATAGGATAATCTCAATCAATTCTTCTAAGACAATCATTATATGAATGATGAACAACATAAAAAGCTAATTGTATATGAATAGTTATAAATTGGTAGGTATAAATATAAAAATAATAAAAAGTTAATATATAAATTTCATACTTATACTAATATTTTAATTATCAGAAATCAAGTTAAATATATATGTAATAGATTAGATTGGTTTTGAAATTTATAAATTTAGCAAGTTAGACAAATGATTATTTCCAGTAGATGAGAAAGACTCAAAAATGTTATTACATTTTAAGTTTATTAGAAATAAGTTATTATTTGATTATTATTAATAGTTAATTTTATAGATATTGATATATAAAATAAAAAAAAATAATGCAAGATAATACAAAGAATAAAAAAAGATGTATTAAGATGAAAAAATAATCCTTATTTAAATAAGAATCGAACTCTTACAAAATAGAAAAATGACATTTAAATAATAAAATTATCCACTTTTTACAAAATTCATATATAATGTATAATAGATTCATTTGTTATATTTATTTTATATAACAAAATTACGCTTATCTGCTAAAAGTATTCACAATTTTGAAGGTTACTAAAATATTCAATAAATAATACATAAAGTAAACTTAGAAATTTATTAATATAGTGATCTTTGTATAATTAATAAAGATTATTCTTTATTTAACTCTATGATATATGCAAATTTTATAAGATTCTGTTTACTGACAATTATCAGACAAGTTTTCAAAAACAGACAAAAAATTCAAATGAAAATCAATTTAATATGGAATGTATAAATTAACTTTTATTATTATAAAAAATGTTTTAAGTATTTTGAAATATGTATATACAAATTTTAAAAAAGATTGATTAAATGAGATGGTAATTATTTTGCTAAAAATATAAGATGTAATTATGAATATTAAATATGAAATTAATTACCATTTCATGTATAATCAAATAATTGTTAAATATTTAAGAAAAATATAATATTATGCTAAAAATTAAACTTTTATATTTTTATATTTATTTGTTGTTATTTAATAAAATAAAGTTACTATTTAATTTTCTTATATTAATCATTGATAATAGGATAATTTAAATTTAGACTACAACTATTTTTCATAGAATCAGTTAATTAAACTCCCAATTTCTCAATTTCTCTTTTTTTAATCATTTGCTTAAAACTATTTTATTGATTTATCTAAGTTTAATTTATTATAAAAATCTACAAAATGAACATAAAGTTATATATAGGGTGATATGTATTGTGAACAGATAAAATGTGATAGGACTTACATAGCGCAGATGATCAATAAATCTGACAAATTTGACATATCTAACATTGCTGACATGTCTGACATATATGATATATCTGACATGATCGACAAATAAGATATATTAGACAGATTTGACATATATGACATATACAATATATTAGACATATTAGTTATATCTTTCTATATACTATATTTTATATAAATAGATAGCTTTTTAGACTATATAAAAGTAGGATTTGACAAAATAAAATACTCTGGTCTAATGAATATAGAAAGCTGACCAGTTTGCAAGGTATTACTCAAATCAGCTAGATTAATGACTAGATAAACAAAAGGTATGAGTTTTATTTTTGAACTAATTGGGAAATCATAATCTTTGATCGTAACTGATTCATTAATAGTTTAGATGGTTTTGAATACCAGTAGTTTTTAAGAGGCAAACAAGCCTATTATATTATGCTTAGTTTAATACTTTGTTTCTTTATTTTCTTTTTTTTCTCTTGTCATATCTTTTATTCTTTTTATTTCTATTTTCTATTTTATTAATAAATATCTTACTTGAAAAAATATTACTCGATACCTTTTGAATTGTTAATCATAAAACCTTCGTATAAATCTTTTTACTTGAATTTAGTCGTAATAAGTACATTTGTAAAGCATTGAGATTACTGTACAATTAAAAAGAAACAACACTCTGATATCCTATCTAACAGTTGTAGTTCGCAAGAATTACATGTTAACAGCATATGAAAAGTAATAATAAATATTATAGTTCTAATAAATATCAAAAAGCAATTAATTTTTTAGAAAAAGATTGTAATTGTAGTTGTTCTTTAAAAATTTTCAAAGAAGAATTTGCAGAATTATATAAATCTTTTCAAGTTCTTACCAAATCAAAATGAGATATATTTTTAATGGCTTAACTTAAAGCAATAGATAGTGGATCAATAAGTATTAGTAAACATCTTAAAAAGAAATTAAATCTAATAAAAAAACTTTCTATCATTGAGATCATAATACACTACTTTGCCAAGAAACTTATCTCAATATATTAGGGATTGGTAAAACTTATTTAAAAATATTAGAAATCATCTGATAGTCTTCTACTAAGAATTCATGGCAATATTAAAAAGATAAATCAATGAAAAACTAAAATAGTGATTGATAAAAATGTTGCTGAAATAGTAAAGAATTTTCTGAAAAATTATGCAGAGGTCATGAATTACCAAGTTCAGAAAGAAGTATTAATAAAATAACTCAATTAATTATATTCTTACCAGCTGAAATGAGTTATAAATCAGTCTACAGAAACTTTTTAGCTAATCTAAAAGAAGATAGCAAGTTAAAATCCTTAAAATATGATGTATTTAAAAAATTATGATATCAATTAATATTAAAGATTCAAATTATAAGTCTAAAAACTGATTTGTGTGATACTTGTCAACATTTTAGAAATGGTTTATATTATAATATTCGCTAAGAAGAAGAAGCTAAAGATTTGCTCAAAAGGTTTAAAGAACATCTGTCTAAAGCCAATATAGAAAGAAATTATTATAATAAAAATATCAAGTTAGCATAAAAACAAAGAAAATTAGTTAATCAGAATTATTCTAAGCATAAAACACAATATTATAATATTAATGTTACTATATAGGTGGTATGCTATTAACATTGAGGTACAAGATATAGAAGATATAGTAAATAATATGGTCTGTACCTTAATTTTAATAGATCACCACCCATATATTATCTCTTAGACTGTAGAGCAGGCAAATTTGCCTGCGAAATTAAAAAAAAAGTGTTAATTTCTTAATAAAATATTAAATATTAATTTTATTAATATCATTATTATATAAAAATTATAGTT